TGATGACCATCAAGAGCTGTTTTGAAGGTGGTACTTCGAAGTATTGGCACACGTAGCAGTCAATAACATCCAACTTGAATTCCAAGGGCAGACAAGGCACCGCTCGACTTTTACGGGATTCATTCTCTCCATAAGCGCTCTAACCAACGAGACCAACATCGGAAAATCGACACCATTGCGCTCTTCTCTCTATCATCGCCACCTTCATTATCACATCTTGTACCAAGTGGTGCATTCGAGATGCCAACGCAAAACGCCGACTCGAGTGACAAGATACCTACTGTCAATGAATTCGGACAACCCGCCGGGTTCGCCATGGAAGACTGGACTCCACCTCCGTTCCCACCTCACGAGACCCTAGTAGGCCGCTACTGCCAGCTCGAGCCGCTGCGTGCTGATCGACACGCTAAAGACTTCTGGGATGCCCAGTCCGACGACCCCAAAGGCGCTAGCTGGACGTATATGATCAACGGACCATTTAAGGACTTCGACGAGTTCGAAGCGTACTGCTTAAGCACCGAGAAGGCTCGTGAGCCACAAATCTACGCCATCGTTGTGAACGGACGTGCCGTGGGAATGATCGCATACATGCGCGTCGATCCGTGTAACGGGGTGATGGAAGTTGGGCGTATCTACTATACATCAAGGATGCAAAAGACCCCCGCTGGTGCCGAGGCAATGTATCTGCTAGCCGCCAACGCCTTCAAACTGGGTTATCGCCGGTATGAGTGGAAGTGCGACAGCTGCAACATTCCGTCTCGCAATGCTGCAACTCGGTTCGGGTTCACATACGAAGGACTGTTTCGCCAAGCGATCGTCTACAAAGGCCGCAACCGCGACACGACTTGGTTCTCGATCACTGATGGCGACTGGAATGGCGGGTTGAAGGATGCGTACCAGCGTTGGCTGGCGTCGAGCAATTTTGACGAGAAGGGCCAGCAGAAGCTTAAGTTGTCGGATCTCACGTCACCATTTGTGCACGCTAGACCGTAACGGTGATCATCGATCCCGATGTAACACAACAGGGAATGAAGCTCGCCATTCGAATGTGGTGTCTTGCAAGAAATAAACGTGCAAAACTTGTTTTTTTTACATCGACATCCTTACTATTTCGATTTGCTGTTTGAGAAGTGCTAGCAAGCTGGCAATGTGGTAGTGAAGTGGCCTAGTTCATTATCGTACCGCTTTCACTC